CTGGAATTTTTCAAGGTAATTATGTTAACTATTGCTTCTGACCAGCTGACCACCACAACAACGATTATTTTGTCATCCTTACATCTGTGAGTTGTCTCCCATTAAATGAAAGGACGCAGTGAGCGAGTCAAGCATTTCTCGAATTTCACTTCAAAATACTTCGGATACGTCTGTAACTGGTCGCAAAGCGAATTTGAACAGTTCACTTCATTTGGTTCAAATGTGTCGTGTGCTATCAATTGAGGGTTATCCACGCAGACTTAATCTCTGTATGTGAACACCCGGATTTTCCCGTTGAGTAAAATCGGCGGTATTCTGCTGACCAATTATGACGTGCTTATGGCATGGCATGCTTAAATTGAAAACAGCAGTTGCACTTTAAATGCTAAATTTTCGTTTATTAAGTCTCAGGTTTATTATGTTAGAAGCTTGGGCGTTGGTATTTTGAATTGTTACCAATTCATCATATGATATCGGAACGAGTACGTTGCTTTTTATGTACTGGACGGTATACCATTTAAGGCAATGTCCTCACAATCAACTGACTAAGGTATGCCTTTGGTTACGCATGAAAGGGTTACAGTTTTGAATAGAATTTGCACAGCTTTTCATTAGATTCATCTCATGGACTGTGTGGACCACTGTAACGTCGACAGAAAGTGGTTGGGTAATTCCTTCAAAATATGGTTATTTTCCAACGAATTAGACTAAAATACGACTAAACATTTTTGTGGCGACGCTCGAAAATATGCCGTCTATCAGAATATATACACAGATCGCCATTTTGCTGTTTGCGTCCTCACCGTACCCCCAGTTTTGTACGCTTTTCGGCTCATGCTCGGTGTCAATCCTTTACGGTGGTTAACCGAATTGTGCTCGACCGATTACGTATTTTCTGCGAGACGACTCATTCTGAATTTGAAGTCATCAGCGCTATTTGTGGATTTCTCAACCGCTAGCTCGAAGAAGCGAAACTATCTTTCTAATAGTGCATCCACTATTTCATTCTCCATGGTTTTGTACATATGGTTTCCTTGTGCGTTTTATCTTGGCATTACTTACTCTTTGTCGTACCAGATCGGAATAGCATAAACGGTATAGACTCTCTTCTAATTTTTTGGCAAATGTACGCTTTGATAATTCCTGAGCCTTCACGGTTTGACTCGTCTCCTCTTAGATCACACGCAACCATGAAACGAGCACACGTCTTATTTCCTAGTTTCTAGAGTTAATCTATACCTGTGTACTGATCCCAAACTTCTATATAAAACAGTTATTGTGAATTGATTTTCAGCTGGCGGCTGTTCTGTATTTCAGGGCCTGAACATGATAAACTTGAAAGTAAGGTTTTGATTCAGCCATATTTATTACCTACCGTCAGTCGGAACCATTCTGTTGTCAGTTGCCCCATAACTCGAAAATGAAATAAAATTTCCATTGGTAAAGGTGAAACCGGGATGTAACTGCTACAGAATAAATCACGGAAAAATGACTTAATAGTATGTTACACACCAAACTTGGGCCGGTAAAGGCGAAAGTCGACATCAATCAATGCTCCTAGCCCCGGTAGCTTAGTTGGTTAGAGCGCCGTACTTATAATGCGGAGGTCGAGAGTTCGAGCCTCTCCCCCGGGGCATGCTATTTTCTTGCATGATGTGCAAGTTGCGATAGTTTATCACAGGAGACCGTTCGGGCCGGAAGATATTTAAATCTGTTTGAAGGGCGACAGATTAATGTTATCGACAACCAACGTATACATGTGTTGTTATTCACATATCTTGATCTACGTGGCGACCGGGTTAAGTTTAAATTGAGGTACCAACTTTAATGTACTCGTTTCAGCTTTGTAGGTGGTTCTCAATTTGACTTCCACTATTGTTTACTTTGTTCTCCTAAATGTAGTGTGTCACAGTGCGATTAGACCAAGTATGTTCGAAGCCAACGTTGGTCGGAAACTTAACGGTCAATCAATCAAGTGCCTCAACTTGCCAAAACCTTAAGACAAGCAGTCTATACCTACGAGAAGTTCGATGTTTACGGATAAGCCAACATTTACAGTTTTTCTTGCAGCCACATTATGGATTACATCTAAACAGCGTCATGCCGGGGGCGACTGTGAAAACTCGATTAGTTTTTGAGCATGCCACAGATAATTACTAGGATTCGACAACATCATATGTGCCTGTATTACAAAAATCTGAGCCGAAGCTTTATCAAGCAAATCACTATTCAAAGCAACGTCGTCGGAACAAATTGCAAAGTTGTTGCCGTCAATCGATCGGTAAATTTGAGGTATATTTTTATGATAATCATAACACCTATATGAATGATTCCAAGTATATCGAACGATATCGTTGTCGAGTTACGAAATCTGCTAAAAAGTTTACAACATATTAAATGGCAACAGCATAACCTGACTGTTTTCAATGGAATGAATGCATGGCAAATATTCACTGAGGTTATTGCGTCTCAATTTCTGAATATCCTTTATAGAGGAGCCGTCATTCTGTTGGCTGACTATGAAACAGTTGGTTGAACGATTTTACTGAATGGAACAGTTCACTATTTCCCTACGACACATTTTATGT